AAAGACAATAAAGAAAAATAGACACAGTCCTTATGATTTGGTTTTGATAGGTGTCATTTAAATCTTTCTGACACATAGGGACTCTGGACACAACAGATCAAAAACTGCATGACCCTCACCAACCATCCTTACAATTGTTCCTATGCCTCAGACCACCGTTGCAGCCATGGTGAAAATTCATATCGTTGAGGGCTTTCTTAATTTTTGCTGCTCCTCCATTTTACCAAGCACCATGTCCTCCTCCAGGGACTGGTCTCTCCTGACAATATTTCCGAAGTATGCAAGCCTTGCCTCTAAGGAGCACTCTGGCCTTGCTTCTTCCAAGACAGACTTCTTTGCTGTTTTAGCAGTCTGGGGTACTTTCAATATTCTTCTCTAGCACAACAATTCAAATGCAGCCAGTTTTCTATAGTCTTTCTTATTCAACGTCCAACTTGCATATATATATGAAGCAATTTAGAATACCATGACTTGGGGCAGGTGTATTTACCTAATGCAGCACATCTTGTGATATCTTGAATGCTGTATCCATGAACACTGATTGTGGATCCCAGCAAGATAAAATCCCTGACAACTTCAACCTTTTCTCCATTAATCATGATGTTACCTCTTGGTCCAGTTGTGAGGATTTTGTTTTTCTTTCAATCAATAGTAAGCCATACTAAAGGCTACAATCCTTGATCATCTTCAGCAACTCCTCCTCACTTTCAGTAAGCAAGGTTGTCTCATCTGCATGCTGCAGGTTGGTAATAAACCTCCCTCCAAGCCTGATGCCACACTCTTCACATCATCCAGCTTCTCTGATGATTTTCTTATCGCCCAGATTGAAAAGGTATGGAGAGAGGATACCACCTTGAGAAGCACCTTTCCTGATTTTAAACCAGCCCCTTTCCCTTGTTCTGTCTAACAGCTGTCTCTTGATCCATGTTCTGAATGAGTACAATGAAGTGTTCTGGAATTCCCATTCTTTTCAAGGTTATGATGGTCCACACCATCATAGCATATTCAATGAAACACAAATAAACATCTTTCTGGTATTCTCTGCTTTGAGCCAAGATGATCCATCTGACACTCAGCAATATCCCTGGTTCCACATCGTCTTCGGAATCCAGACTGAACCTCTTGCAGCTCCCTGTCAATGTGCTGCTGCAATCATTGTTGGATAATCTTCAACAAAATTGTACTTTGTGTGCAATATCAATATTCTATAGTTTGAGGATTCTATTGGGTTGCCTTTCCTTGAAATGTTCATAAATATGGATCTCTTCTAGTCAGTTGGCCAAGTAGCTGCCTTCCCAATTCAATTTCCTGGCATAGACGAGTGAATGCTAACAGTGTTTGATCAGCTTGTTGAAACATATCAATTGGTATTTCTTCAATTCCTGGCGCCTTGTTTATTGCTAATGCTTTCAGTGCTGCTTGAAGTTCCTCCTTCAGCACCATTGGCTTTTGCTCATATGCTACCTCATGAAATGGTGGAATGTTGGCCATGTCTTTTTGGTACCGTGACTCTATGTATTGTGTCCATCTTCTCTTGTTGCTTCCTGTGTCATTCATGATTTTGCCCATAAAATCTTTCAATATGGCCACTCGAGGGTTACATTTTTTTCTTGAGTTCTTGCAGTTTCACATATACTGAGCACATTCTTCCCTTTTGATTTTCTAATTCTAGATCCTTGCATATTTCAATACAATATAATTAGCTTGTCTTCTTGAGCTTCCTTTGAACTTTCTATTCAACTCCTTGACTTCATCCTTTCATCTATTTGCTTTAGCTACTTATGATTAAGAACGTGTTTCAGAGTCTCTTCTGACATCCACATTGATAGTTTCCTTATTTTTAATGACCTTTTACTTTCTGCATGAGAGACGTCCTCCCACAGATCACCAGGCCTTCTGTCATTGAGGTCTAATGCATCAGACCTCTTCTTGAGATGTTCTCGAAATTCAGATGGGAAAGACTCAGTGTCATATTTGGCTCTTGGGGATTTGCTTTACTTTTTTTCAGGTTTTTCCTGACTTTACATAGGATCAACTGACGGTCCGTTCCGCTGTTAACCTCTGGTCTTGATTTAAACTTCTGATGTTGAGCTTTCTCATTGTATTTTCGCATCAATGTAGATACTTTCATGCCGGTGTATTCTGATGGAGAAGCCCAGGTGTATAGTCTCTTTTATTTTGCTGAAAAAAAGACATTTGCTATCAATAAGCCACTGGTTTTGAAAAATTCTATTATGCCATGTCCAGGTTCATTTCTATCACCAAGTCCACATTTTCCAACTATTGTTCCTTCCTCTTTGTTTCCAACTTTT